ATCAAAACTATCATCAATCATTTATCTCACTCATTATCTCTTTGTCAGATTCAAACATCAAATCGCATCACTTATTTCTATCATATGTTTAATTATTTATGTATTTCTTCTCTAAAAATATCACATAACTCATTTCTATCATATATTTAATCATTTAATATTTGATTAATTTATAGTTAATATATTTAAAAAAAAATTAATATAATGGGATCGATTTTATGGACGCTCGACTTTTATATTTTATCGTGTCTTCAGGTACGGATTATGACTAGTAATATAATATAATAAAACGGGAGTATGTTTGAATTTTATCCCAATTATATTTTTCCCTCAAACTCATCATCAATCACTTACCTCACATATCATCCCTTTCTCAGATTCAAATGTCAAATCACATCACTCATTTTTATCACATATTTAATCATTTATATAATTCCTCCCTAAAAATATCACACTACTCATTTCTATTTTATATTTAATCATTTAATATTTAATTAATTTGTTGTTAATATATTTTGAAAAAATTTAATATAGTGGAATCGATTTTTTAGACATTCGAATTTTATATTTTATCGTGTCTTAGGACACGGGTTTTGACTAGTATGTATATATTATGGGTAATCTGTGCCTGTAAACACGGTACAATGCGAATGGCTTTAAGAGGGATATTGGTAATCGTTGCATGAATCTATTTAAGACCGTCAAAAGGACTTAGTGAAACCTATCCTATTTTATATTATGATAGAAAAATAATTTTAATACTAGCATAATTCACAAGTTAAAAATTGTTATATTTAAAAATATTGAAATTATTAATAATAGCCAGTATTTATAATATGGGTAATGAGGTAATACAAAAAAAAAAGAATTTAAAATGTGTATTTAATGACAATAATTTTATGTAAAAGAGAACTTAATAGAATATAAATTTGGTTATAGTACTTAACTTCGAATAAGTCCTACAAAAAATATCTACAACCAAATATCTGTGCTAAAAAATACCCAAGCCCACAGAAAGCCCAAAGGTTAGCCCAACAGACCTTTAACGGGCCTTAAACAGGCTTTCTTAATTTACTTTTAAAATAGAAACTTGTTCCAAAAAATTATCAATAAAAAATATAAAGTACTAAAATTAGAATTAGGAAGAAAAGCCAGCATAGTAAAGTTATTGGACTTTCCTTCAATGTACAATCGTTGTAATTTTGAGTTGCAAACAGGTACCGGTGGCCGACATAATACACCTGAACGTTAAATTATCTTAGTAGGCATCAATTTAAAGTATCATTTGAGGTCAATATGATTTTCCAAGTCGTATATACCACTATTCTCGTTCGATTCATGGTGCACTAGGAGCCATATCGGATGATGTGACCCCGTTGTCCAAATCATTGTTTCATGACACTAAGATGTTCTTTTGCAACACCACGACATAATTTGAATTTCTTATCGATCGTTTTTTTTTTTTATCTAACATTACATGTGTATCACCCGATCTCATTTCTTTAACTCCACGATTGATGCATTTCAATGCCTACGAGTTGATAATCGACACCACAACCTCCACTATGGGCCCGATAGAATCCTAGATTATTAATCTATGATTGAATGAAAAATTGAATAAAAAAATATGTTGGAAAAAATCCAGATGCAATGCCTGATGATCCATCGATGGATCGGCTATATTAATTGGAGAAGCAAGCAAGAAAGAAAGAAGAATAAAAAGATGGAGTACGTTTATTCAACCACAACTGCTACATTAAGACTTAGAAGTTCAGTACAATATTAT